ACCAGTCGTGCCTCCTAACAGTACATTCAGCTATGAATTCATCAATGGAATCACAGATGAATATAGCACCCTTATGACCCAATTACGTTTCCAAAGCCTCACCACTGAACACTTGAATCTTTGGGGAGACATTTTATATATAATAATATAAAACTTAACTCAGAGTCACCTTTTATAGTACGTTTTCCCAGTCCATCTCCACTGCAGAAACAATTTTCTATCACCCTTCATGTTATTCTAATTAGGCTGATATCAGAGTATCTTCATCAGTTTATTGAACCTGTTCATTTATATAGTTACATTTTGGACTTCCTGAGAATTCAGATAGTTTATTTCCTTGTGATGCAACCTCAGTTTAGAAAGTACACTGTTATACAGGAGAATATTAACAAATAGAAAACAAATAAGTGAAAGTGAAAATTATATGATCTAAGAATTGCTCAAGTCTTTATCTTATTCAGTGCTATGGTTTGGATAGTGTTTGAGTATAACCCTCATGGACTCAAGTATTGGGAGCTTGGTCACAAGTTAAGAGATGGTAGGAGCTTCAACAGTGGTGCCTAGTGGGGTATCATAAAGTCATTGAGGAATTAATGTGGTTCTCCCCTCTCTGAATTCCTGTTTTGCCATGAGATTTCTCCCTCTAACACATGCTATTGCTGTTATGTTATTTGCCACTAGGCTTTCCTTAGAGAACTAACAAATGAGGCTGCTAAATGTTAGATTTTAGCTTCCAAAACTATGAGCAAAGTAAAACTTGTTGCTTTGTTTTGTACTCAGCTTCAAATATTTCGTTATAGTTTTGGAAAATAAGTGAATATACCTGGCAATTGTCTTTATACCAATAGTTTTTCAACATGTGGAAAAGCTACTTGCTTCCTTACCTCATTCCCAGTCTTTCCTGCTTACCGACTCATGAATCATATAAACACCAACCTTTATTTGCTGGCATATATCCTTCTAATGTGAGATTTGAGTGTCCTTTTCACATATATTCTGCTTTGTAGGGTGCTTAGACCACATTTTCTGTTTCTTCTCTTCCATGAAGTTGAGATTAGAATAATGATATCTAGCCAATTTTATTTCCCCATCTATTTTGAAAGAGAGTTTTGCAGGATACAAAAGTCTAGGTTGGAGATTCTTTTCTTTTAGGACTTGGAATACCTCACTCCAGGCTCTCCTTGACCTAAGGGTTTGTGTTGAAAAGTCTGCTGTGATTCTAATGGGCTTCCCTTTGCATGTGATTTGTTTCTTTTCTCTTACTGCTTGTAGTATTTTGTTTTTCTGTTGGATTTCTGGAATCTTGATTATTATATGTCTAGGTGTAGATTTTTTTTGATCGTGGCTAGTTGGGGTTCTATATGCCTCACTTATCTGTATGTCTAATTCTTCCCTTCTGTTTGGGAAGTTTTCTGTCATTAATTCTGTGAAGAGCTTTTTTATATCATTTGTGTTTTCTCCTGTTTTTTCATGAATTCCTATCAGTCTTATGTTATTTTTCTTTGTATCGTCTAGGAGTTGTTGGATTGATTTCTCATGATCCCTTACTGTTTTTAATAGACCTCTTTTTTCACAGTCACTGACTGCTATCCTATCTTCTATATCTGAAATTCTATCTTTGCAATCTTTTATTCTGTTTCGTACACTTTCAATAGAGTTTTTAATCTCCTGGATATCTGTTTGAATCTGTTTTATGGATTCCATTTCTTTCCTCTGTTGGGCATTCATTGTTTCCATGTCTTTCTTATGTTGAGTCTTCATGGCTTCTATCACAGTCTTGAGCTCATCTATTTTTTTCTCAGTTTCTGCTCTAGAGTCTCGAATCATGACTTCTATTTTGCTCATCATCTCTCTGGCTAGCTGGGAAATTATTTCTGATTTGAATTTTTCTAGAGCCTGATTGATCAATTTTGTTACCTCCTGTGCTATGGGTCCAGGGAGTCCTGTTGGTTCACTATCAGACTTTTCATCCTCATTTGTCCTACTATTTGCTATTGGTGAACTGGATATTTGTTTTTGTGTCTTGCTTAAGTGTTTTCTCATTTTTATTTTTATTGTTGGGTTGTCCTTCTTTAATTTCTGGGTATTACTTAAATCTTCCTAATATAGTTGCGTTTTAGCTTTTGAGTTTCTAATGACTCATAGACATTCTCGTTTTCATAATATCAGAGAAAACAACTCTTTAAATCAATCACCACTCTTTGTCCCAATTGATACATTCAGCAGCCCAATAGGATCAGGCACAGCTTGCCAACTGACCACTTATGGTAGTCATTAATGTATCACCTTTAACTCATGTGAATTAGATTAATTTCAAGAAGCAGCTCATAGTATGTTTGCAGTGAATATTCTTTTCAATATGGCATCTTTACCATTTAGGATGGGGGGTTCGACTTAGAACAAGAGGATTAGATAAGTGAAAGAATTAGAGCAGGTTTGAAGTGAATCCAGAGGTTGTAGAATTACCTTACTATCTTTACAAAGCTATTAAGTTCAGGGGGGATAGAGAGAGTGCAGGAATAAGGACAGGAATATATCCCCTTAACAGTAACAGGCGCTTGCCTTCCCTTGAAGGTACAGAGCCATGAGTGAGGTAAAATGACTGGAGAAAAGAACATAAAGAGAAACCCGTCCTAAAAACAAAAAATAAAAAAAGAAGTCTGAGTTCTTCAGGAACTGGAATAAAAAGGGAGATGAGGGACACTATGGTGGAGCAAGAGACTGAGTTGGAGAGACAGGACAGAAAAAAGAAAGAAATTTTAGGGTGGAAAGAGGAAAAAAGAGACAAGAGAGAGGGAAAGAAAAAGAATTTGAAGGTCCTCTTTCAGGCTATCTCTGATCTCATATTATACCACATGCACAGTCATATGCGGAACCCAATCCCCTGGTTATAGCTAGCCAATGGCTGTTCCTCACGACTGAGACTGAACACAATCTACAAAGCCTAACTTTAGTTTCCTTACCCTCAGGGTTGAACTCCACTCCGTTCTATTACAGGTTTCCCCTGCCCTTTCTTTAAAGATGATCAAAGTTCGGAGCTCAGAAAACTACCCTTCATGGGAACCTATGCCTCTGCAGAGTTGGTCTAAGGACTGGCCCGATCAGGAGTTTTGAGAACGGGGGGGGGGGTCGTGTGGGTGTTTCAAGGGCGCCCGCGCGGCTACCTTCCTTCCTGGGTCTGTTGTCGCGCAGGCCGGGAGCTCACGCGCACGCCGCCGGGTGATCGCAGACAGGCAGGTAGGCAGGCAGCTGAAAAAAACCCCCTCTGGGGTCCTTGGGTCCTTCCTGGGTCTGTTGTCGCGCAGGCCGGGAGCTCGCGCGCACGCCGCCGGGTGATCGCAGACAGGCAGGCAGGCAGGCAGCTGAAAAAAACCCCCCTAGCCAATTTTAAATATATATTAATTTCTACATTTGACTCAGTTGTTGTTTGGCAAACAACTGAAAGTTTCTTCAACACAAATGTTGATATATAAACCAGTCTCATCATGAGCAATTAACAAATGCACTTCCAACTCCTCAAAATGTTAATGAAATTTAGACTGACATGTAGCTCTCATTTAGTAAGTATACTTAGGTAAATAAGCTATCAGACTTGAATGGCTGAATATTTCTCAGTATCATCTCAAAATACTTTGAGATTGCTGGTCAGGCTGGAAAAAATTCACCAAGGTGACTTATTTTAGCAGAGTCTCAAATCCATCTGCAACATGTTAAAATGGTAGAATCAGCTCCCTATCTAATTACATTTTTTAAAACTGGTACTGGATTAATTAACATGAAAATTACATACAAATGGGAGATAAATTTGCCTTTTGAGAAAAATTTCTTTCCATGAGGTCCAATGTTTCAAATCTTCTCAAGTTTGAGATAACTTTTGCAGGCTTATTCTCCCATCTTTCCTTGAGTGGTGTGTTAGGTAGGCTTTCTGTCACTGTGACAAAATATGTAACATAACTTAGAGGAGGAAGAGTTTGGTTTGGCACACCATTGCCCAAGTTTCGGCCCATGTTAGTATGGCTCTGTTGCTTTAGGCCTGTGGGAGGCAGAAACATCATGGAGGAAGAATGTGGCTTATTTCATGGCAGCTAGGAAGCAGAGAGAAAGGAGAAAAAGGAAGAGGGAGGAAGGGATAGAGCGAGGGAGGCGGAGGGGAGAACTGGAGAAGGGGCCAAGGATAAGACATAGTTTCCAAAGTTATTTCTGCATCATCTACTCCCAAATCTAGGCCCCAAAATTTACATTACTTCCCAACAATGCCATTGAATTATGAGCCCATTAATGGAATAGACCACTGAAGAAGTTAGAGCCCTCATGTTCTCATCACCTTTCAGAAGCCCTACCTCTGAACATGTGAGTCTTGGGGTTGGGGTGACATTTAAGATCCAGACCACCACAGTAGGGCCTACTTCATCACTCCCATAATTATTTTCCCCCTGCCTCTCTTCCTGACATTCACTGACAGTCTAGAACAGCCTTTGGGAGTTGGTTTATACATGAAAAGATTACCAATATTGTATACTAGCTCAATGGACATGATTCAAAAACTGGTTTGAACAAAATGAATATCAATAATGATGATCATTACCCTTAATTGTGCACCTTATTAAGTGTGAGTTAAAATTACATAATGAATACATCCAATTCTCGAAACAGCCTTATAATTTAAGCAATCCATAAGAACCTATCAAAGATGAAGAAGGGGAGGGTTAGAGAGGTTAAGGAGGTTGTCTAAGGTCACATTCCAGTAGACAGCCTAGTTAAAATTTGAACTTCTGTCTGTGCATTTTCTGCTGAGAATTTTAATACAGTTGTCCATGTCATGAATGAGAAATTCTTGAGGTGAGATACTTGACAAATGTGACCTGTTCAGTAAGTATGTAGCCCTCTTTCTGTTGTCACTTAGTCAGAAGAAGATTTAGAAGGCTGAGATGTTAAAACTGTGCATATAATGAATTGAACAGAGGATTCATGGAGTCGCACAATGTTTCTTTGCCTTCTAGGAAGATTTCCAACCTGCAGCAGCCTCTAAAACCAACTGGGAATCAGTCACAAGTTCTGCCTCAGTAAGTAATTTATTACTCTGTTGCCAACAAAAGAACCTGATGGAGTAGCTAAGGTCAAGCCCAGAAGGACTTAAACTACATTAAGGACTTGTGGTTTAACCAAAAGCCAAATCCCAAGCAAGATGTGTTTCTCAATTTCTTTCAGGTTACAGTGGATTATGTTGGACACTTTTTGGCCTCTTTTTAAAAAATGTTTTTAAGAATTACCAATAGTGATTGTAGGAACTTGGGATAGACAATGATATAAATATTTCTCAGTTTTAAAAAAGAGCGTTCTAACAAGATTGTCTGGCCATATAAAACTGATAGGGCCCCAGTTCAAGTGGGCAATTTCAAAATAGCTTTCTGAATATTCCAGAAGCTGTTAATCTTTGTGTTTTCAAGAGTCTTTTCAGACTTGAAAAAAATCTAAACATTTACAATAAAATAACTTAAATGCAATTCAGTCGTTTAGAGCATTTCATTTGACTTAGATATAAAACATAACTCACCCTCAAGCTAGAAAGTGGTTCATAACTGCATTTTTCTCCAAATTTAGTCATTTCTCAGTACTCTGTCTCCTTATCTACTTTAGCTAGAGCCAACCTTGTTTTCACCAATCATACATGTAGTGCCTATGTAGCAATTAAATACAAGTTAATAAATGCAGTTGTTCATAGAAAGGCAGGAACATTCAGAATTCATGTCCATGGTCCTAAAGTACATCCATGTAGCTAAGTTCCGGTTGATGTTTTATTTTTCTTCAAAACTGACACACTGTCATTTGTGTTTTGGGAAATTTTTAAATTTCACTCATGTAGCAGAATCACCTCAGCTGTGGCTTCTATCACCTGGTGCAACTGTGACTAAACTACCATCTGATCAAGAGACAGATAAAGTCTTTGCTGGTGATATGATGAATTGTCTTTGCTTCTGACATTCCAGAATGCATGCTGTGAACCTTGTTCAGTGTAGCTAGTTATCACAGGAAAGTAAAAATCAGAACAGGCAGGTAACGCTGAGGAGCTCCTCAAACTAAGCAGACTAGTTGGGCAGCCAGTGGCAGTCTTTACAACCATGAATTGAGTGTTGAGAGGGATTCCAGCTTCTTGAGTACCTTATACATTACAGGTAATAATAGATCATAATAGGTCTAATTATTCCTGCCCCAAGTGCAGAATTTTACTTTAAAGACCTTTAGCTAATTTAAAATAAGCCACGAGGAATTTGTCAGCTTTCCAACACTATAAAAATACCTGAGGTAATCAACTTACAAAGAGAAAAGGTTTATTTTGGGTAGAAATTTTGGAATTTCCAGTCCTTAATCAATGGGTTCCACTGCTTTGGGCCTGGGGTAAAGCAGTACATTATGGTACATGCCTGTGGCAAAACAAAACCACTCACCTAATGACCAGAAAGCAAAAGAGAGGCAGCAGGGGCTGGATACCCACAAGCCCATTCAGTGTCATACTCTCAATGATATATAGACCTTCCACTGGTCCCCACCCCCTAAAGCCTCTCCCACCTCCCAATATGCACCACTCTGGAAACCAACCCTCCTACACACGAGCCTCGAGGGAACATTTAAACTCCAAAAAATGGCACAGGTACTTTGAAACATAGACTGACCCATCTATTTGGAGTATCTAAGGATGTTCAGCCTCTGGTCTGTACCACTACACATTTCTTTTTTGAGATCTAAGAATAGGTACTGTTTAGCCTGCTTTGCAGAACACAACATCACAGTTGCTTTTCTCAACATTCTACTTTTGAAGAACCTTCTAAAATAGGATCTGGGGTCATTTTACCTGCCATTTACTTCTTTGCAAACCATATTTTGTTTCTGTTCAATGCAGTTTATGGTGTGTTTGTAAACTGTTATCACAGTAATTCAGTTAACATTAGAATTAACTTCTATAAATACATACCAAAAATCTAAATCAGGTCAAACTGATAGTGCAGCTGAAGGAGGTACACCAAATTAATCTTTCCCTGAAAAATACATTTTAATGATTTCAGAAACAAATGTTCTCAGGGGTTTATTAGATCACCTAATCATTCATAAATATTTTCTTAACTATTATCATTGTATCTGTCAAGCACTGTGAATCAAAACCTGCAAGCAGCAGTAAAGCCCATATAAAAGGTGACATTTTACCTATGGTTTGGATTTGTTCTTCAGCTTAATGTTTGAAGATGTTAGACTTCCCCCTCCCTCCCAGAGCCTGAGAGTCCTTTGAGAGCTTACAGAGATATTTAACTACACACTATATTCTAGGCACTTTTTAAAACCACCCCAAAAAATTCCTTGCAGCCATTGTCTCCAAACCTATTGCAAAAAACTTTCACCTGTGTGGAAAAGGCTCGATTAATGTTCCTGCTTTTATTCCAATAAAATGGAAAGAGTTTTAATTTCAAAACTGTTACATGCTGGCATGCTCCTAACTTTGGTCAGCTCATTTTAATATTTGGATCTTAGATGTACATTATTGTGATGCATGGTTAATTATAAATTGTCACATGAATATGAGCCAGGAAAACTATACAAGTTGAATAGGAACTTGGAATCCCAGTACTGAAGTATCAGTATTATCCAGCATTTGGTGAAAGAGATGATGTACATCATTTAGGATTCATCTCACATCACACACACAAATATACACACGCTATTATGAACAGAACAAATATTGCTGTACCCAGATGACAGCCATAGCATATCAAGAAGATGGTGGTTGAGGATGTCTTTATCTTGGCTTGAACTATTAACAAATCTCAGACTCTTCAGTAATGTCCGACTAGTACTACGTAATTAGATGAGTGATTCCCTGGATATATCTTTGCAGATCATAGAGTGAACTCATACACAGAATCTGAAAGTAGCATGGCAGGAAAAGTTTAGTCCAGGATGAGGTTATCTACTTATTTTGTTAGGGCTGATGGAAAATAAGATGCGTGGGTTCTCTAAATGGAAAGAAAAAAATCTGGCCCAACACATTCATCATCTATCTCATGCCTCCCACCCTACTCTCCAATTCTGGTTTTCCCCTTACTTCCTTCCCCTATAGGGAGTATTTGAAAATTGCTCTTGAATTACACCAGTGATACATCACATGACTTCATTTTCCTATAGAGAGAGCATTCCTCTGAGACCAAGTGATCATCTAATCACTACTGACCTTGTTTGGTGAAAGGAAGAAAACATGGCTTGAGAGTGATAATATAATTTTAGAGCTTTGATGTCTGAAGCTACAATACATATTATTGCTTGATAGTATGCTGCAGTTAAATTTCAGGAAAGCAAGTTTTCATTAATTTCCACTTTCCCTTAGTGATAGGAGTTACCCTTCGGGAATCTTATTTGTTTGGCAATTTCTTCAAAGACATTTAGAAATCATTTGAAGCTGTGGGCTCTCTATTTCCTTGTTAATGGGTCATGAATTTTTACAGAGATGTTTGAACCATGGCTCATTTACCTCTAGATTGTACAAGGGTTAGTGAGGTAAGTGCTTGGAAACCTTATGTGGGAATATTTTATTTCCATGACAAAATACATGATCCTTTCCAGTCTCCTAGTGATGCCCTGTTCTGTCTTTAAGGAGTATTCTGGAAAATGTTTTAACGCCAATTGGGAACACTAGCAAGCTATGACTTTTTTTAAAAAACACAATTCCCACGTGAATCTTGTACTCTTAGGAGAGTCAGTTTCAGGGCTAATTATCATTGTTGACAGTAAATAAGTTGATTAAAGTGCCAAATTTTTCAGAATGTCTCCAGAGTTGAGCTCAGTATTGTTCACACAACATCTGCAATATGAAGTGATCTGTAAGGGAGAGTATGGAGGATAGGTGTGGGAGAATGGAATAAAATAGCAAAATGTGCTGGGAAGGAATTCAGAATTTTAATTATCACCATTATATTATTAGTTGAAAATGGGTGATTTTTGGACCTTGAATGAAAATATTAGGTGGGTTCATTTTTATATTTCCATCCAGGCTGTCTCTTTGTAAATGATTATAATTTAGATGAACTAGAAGTTTTATGATCTACTTGTCTTTGGGTTCCAAAAAACTGAGTGACTATCTCTTACCAATTAATCACTCTTATTTATGAATATGGCAAGTAAATGCCAGATTGCATTTGCTTGCTGTTTAAACATATGATGTCAGGCCAGGGATTTAGTTCAGTGCTGTCACTGCCTACCTCTCAAACGATGTCTTAAAATCAGAAGTTTGTTTATGTTCCCTCCATATAGCTATATGACTGTTGTATTTCACAGCAATGAACTTTTTCTGACTACACTGAGCTGTGTGTCATTCTTAGGGGGTATCCTATCACTCTCCATCAGTAACGGATCCTGCTCTTGCTGCTGATGCTATGGATAAAACAGTTGCAGAATTTGATACCGTGGAAGATCTGCTCAAGCACTTCAATCCAGAATCATGGCAAGAGGATCTTGAGAATCTGTATTTGGACACCGCTCATTATAGAGGCAGGTCATATCATGACCGGAAGTCAAAAGGTAAGAAATAAAACTTTGGAGGTTCTTCCTAAGTAAATAGCAGTGTTAATAACTACAACAAATATGACTTAGTAACGCAACATAATTGATTTATTTAAATAAGTTGATCACTGTTAGTCTATTACCATATATTCATTTTTTTGATCCAATTATGTTGTTTCTATAAAAATAAGAAAAATTTCTTCCAAAGATCTGATAGTTTAGAGACCTTATAAAAACATGTTGACCAGCTTCCTATTTCTTGGCAAATAAGCCCTTATTAGACCTAATTTTACAACAGAGGCAACCAAAGTCAAAGAAGGTAAACAACTGGCCAAAGGCAGACCAGCTAGTTTACAGTGGGCATCATGTTCTCTCGCCTCCATACATGGGCAGCACTGCAGGAGGGTGTGCTGTGCCTCTCGAAATGGTGGGAGGGCTGACTCCAGCAGGGAGTGGCAGTGCTGACGGAAAGGAGCCCGTTAACAGCCAAACATTTGTTGGAAGATTTCCCTGTATACATTTGATGTTCATTCTATGAAGTTTTTAGCAGGAATCACAGTATGCTTGGTGTCTAGATGGTTCGTATACTTGGGAGATGAATGCCCCAAGGGAGGCAAAAACATGGAGTAGCATAGAGGTGTGTGAGGGCACACGTTCAGTTGGAAGTTGCAGGAAATGTAATGAGGGGAGAAGAGAGAGGAATGTTCAGGCAGACAGAACAGTGTGGGTTAAAGCAATTCTAAAACTGTTGAAATCTAAGTATCCTACTCACATCTGAGTGATATGATCTTAGGATGAGAGTATTTATTTAAATGTGTAACTCTGTAACATATAACTACCTCAGATTGGATAAAAGTATAATTTCTAGTTGATTATATCTTTGCTTTATTTGATAAGATTTGTTATTAAAATTTTCACTGTTATTAAAAATTTCACTGTTAGGTCTCATATGGCTGGCTTGCATCACATAGATGTGAAGGTATTAGCTAAGATACAGGCTTGCTTCCCACACTTTTTATTATCAAGGGTATATGTAAGAACTGAACCTGAGCTGCTTTAGCACAACCAATAGGAACACTTGGGCCAAAATGATTATTTAGTAAACTCATGTCTAAGCTTTTTGCTCATGGTTTAGAGCAAAAATAATAAATCTTAATACTTAAATGCGCAGCTATAGGAGCATAAATCACAGGGGGCCCTGATGTTCTGGAGCTATGCCATGTGACCAATAACTTTCAGTCTGAACTTCCTTAGGGCTCAGATTGGATTCAATTCAAAGGAGAAATTGCTTTTCTGTAAGCCATTGCTGTGTTTGGGGATTCTACTAGATCAACCTGAAAAAAGTAGAATATTCACCTGTTTTTAAGAAGTGTGGCCAAATTATTAAAAATGGGCAAACAAACAATAATATCTGACTTTCTTTTCAAGCATCTCAGCCCCTACAGATATTCAAGAGGCAACACTTCTTGGTGCGTCTTTTCTGTATTAAAATATTAAATTTAAATTTAAATTACATATTAATATTAAAAATTGAAAATCACTTAAATCCAGTCTTTTCCCTGAAAATTATGTTGTGTTGGAGGGAGGAGGCCTGATTCAGATCCTAACCCTTAGAAGTTTTGTGATTTTTTTCAACATCACTGATCTTTTTTAATATCCTTATTATATGGTTGCATCTCTTTCTGGAAACTGTTCATGGTACCTTTTTAGAGCACCTGCCATGTGGCACAAGTTGAAGCATTTGTAGGTATCTGTGCCAGTTTAGAGTTCTGGATTATGTTTTCATCTCTTCTTTGGTGAAGCCTTCTTATCTCTTGTCCTGTCTCTGTGTTACCCCTGTCCCCCAGTAAAATTGAGAGTACTTGCAATGCCACTGCACAGTATGCCCAATTGTTGCACTATTATTCCACCTTTGTATTTTCTCTAAGGGAATATGTGGCCCAGGATCTCCTAAAAGTCTTAACTCTGCCTGAATATATTTACTATCTTGGAAAACAATGGAAAAACTAGAGATGCCTAATTCCACCTGAGGCACAGTGACTCAGAATCACTGAGCTGTGGGACTGATGTTGTTTGTGGATTCTTTGAGGTCTTTGGGGTTGAGAGCAACTATGTTAGAGAAGGTTCATCCTGCATCTCCAGCACCTGACAGTTTCTTACACATTTTCAATACTCAGTTAATGTTTGTGGAATAGAAAATATTAACCCAACATTAGTATACTTATTGTTTTTTCCTTTTTTTTTTTCTTTGTGGTGCTAGAGATTGACCTGAAGGCTTTGTGCATACAAGGCAGCACTCTACCATTGAGCTATATTCCCAACCCAGTATATTACCTGAAATTTACAGACCCTGATCCCAAAGACAAAGGAGTGAAACTTTCCTAAGAATACTTTTGGTATTGAAATAACCTTAAAAGAACATTCAAAGTGACATTCTACTTAATGTTTGTGACAAAGTAAAAACACCATCCCTCTCATCCTGTTGGCTAAGATTCCATTTCTTAATGTCTTGTTTAAAATGGTCCAAAGGCAGTAACACCATTTCATTTAACCCTGCCAAATCACTGCTGTTTCCACACTTATATAAATGTGCTGATTTAATTGTTTATCATTTCACTGATGCTGAACCATCTGATGCATTACAAAAGCAAGGGAAGTCAGGTTTAATATCTCAGCTGGTATTTTCTGTTTTTAGAACTTAAAAACACACACTTGTGGCTTGTATCCTGATGTTTGAGGAATACAGAGTAAATAGAGTGAGTACAGATAAACAGTTAAGGATAAAAAGAAGCCCGTTAGGTGTCAGATAACATGAACTTTATAGAATCTTCAAAATTTCACTATCATTATCAATGTAATAATATCTTAATGATGCATGTAAACAAGCTTGTCATTTATTAATCTTTTACTCCACTTTGATTTACTCATAAGTGTCAAAATGGCATTTTTCATGACTCCAAAAAAGCAAGATCCTAAGCAGCTATTTGAATATGAACATACAAAACATAAGATTTCATAAACTTTAAAATACAAACGTATTGAGGGAAGAACCTAATAAACCAGAAACAGTTAAGATTTTTTAAATTAAATTTTATATTTTGTTTCTACTTTTTCTTTGGTGGAAGACAGAGAGGTGTTACTGAGTTTTTAGTTCTCTTTAAGAAGACTATTGAAAATGAAAAACAAGTGGACAGTGAAAGTTTGGGAGAAGAGAGAGGCAGATCGCAGTGTTGAAGCCAGAGTTTAATGCTTAAATTCTACTTTTTAAAAATTCACAAGTAATAGATAAGCTCAAACTGTAAAAGCCTATAAAAGTTTCTGGACTGAAGATAATACCAGTTAATATATCCAATTTTCAGTTTCCTAGTGGGCAATAAAGGGGAAAAAAAGTATATATAATTGAATATATATATATATATATATATATTTATAAAATTGAAATCTGTAGGTAACTGCAGTTTTTCTAAAATTCAGTTTTTGCCAATAATTTCATCCTCATTCTTTCAACATCAAAGATACCCAAAAATTAAAAAAACACTTTTAAGTTCGAATTTCACATATTTTTCTAATGGCTATTCTAATGAATATAGCAAATTTGTACAAAATTAGATAAAATTATATGAATTTTCTTGCTAGAAACTGTGTAATTACTACCTAAATTATTTTTTGACTACTTCAGTTTAACTAAAACTAAACTATAATTCATTAAAAAGTTCTACCTATGAACTTAGGGTCGGTATGTATTTCCTCAAGCTCTTAGCATAAAATTCAACATTTGTAAATTAAGGAATAATCAGCCCTGAGCTTTACTAGACTGGACCTTAAACCAGAGGTGATTTATGGAGAGTGACACTGTGAATGAGACTTATTTCTTTACTTTTCCCAGGAGAACTTGACTTTCCAGAACTATAGTGTGCTTGCCATAGAAAAATCCAAGTTGTAATGGCAAAGGAAGGATATTAGTTTTTATTCTTATGATTGAAGCTTAAATAAAATTATATTACTTCAAGTTAATGGCTTTGAAATATTAATAAAAATACACTCTTCTTTAAAAATTATAATTTTTAGATATTGATGTCAAAATTTACATGCACTCCTCTTTTAAAAATCAGCTTTTTTTTTTTTTTTGGTACAGAGGATTGAACTCAGGACCTTGTGCTTGCTAGGCAGACGTGGTATTAAAAAATCAGTATTGTGTAAATACTTTGATATTAATATAACTGCAAACAGTGAGGTTTGAAATATGTGATTTTTATAAGCAATAAATTGTTACATGCTAGAACTCTGGAACAATTACCAATTCACTTTAGATTATCTGATGCCTGTTATTTACTTCACAACATTTTGCTCTAAGATCTAACACACTTGACTCTTAATTTGGAAAATGACTAAATAATTCACATAAGAAATTGAGGAATAAATGAAATAGATGTATTTCATATTAAGATATTTGAATTGTTTCTGGATTCTCTTGGGTCAGAATACCTTTTTTGAAAGAAATACTTATCATGTACTGATGTTTCTTTGTCATCCCATGGTGTGTTTACCAGGAGGACACCAGTTTTGCTTTTCCAAAACAGTATTTAGAATATAGGAAATAATTTCAAAATATCTTAAAAAATGAACTATATATCAGAAAATGAATGCTAGGTGCTCATATCTTTTTTTCTGCTTATTTGATACCTCATTGGGAATTCTGAAGAAGCCTTTTACTGACACCAGTGGCAAAAAGTAAGTCAGTCTTGAGAAACCAGTACTCTGTAATGACCTCCCTGTAAGATGAATAAAAATAAACATGGGGACATCAACTCACAATGGTTTTATTTTTTAATTTCTATTTTTGAGAGTAGGTTAATTTCATTGGGTTTCTTGAACCTGTGTATTATGCACTATAATTTTTTTTTTTTTGGTACCAGGGATCGAACTCAGGTCTTTGTGCTTGTGAGACAGTCACCAGAACCACTGAGCTAAATCCCTGGCCCAAGTTTTAACAATATTAAATGTGTTCACAGTAAATT